ATACACCTACAACATAGTGATCGATTCTGAGCCATGTCACCTAGAGTCTCCAACCATTGGTCACGTTGGTCACGCGGACCCTAACCAAGTAGTCTGCACCTACCAACATGGCTCAGACTAGAAGTTAGTGACTTCATACTCTGAATGCCATGTTTTGGTTTGGCAGCAGACTAAACATTAATTAAAGTTTTAAACCCAGATATACATCAACTTAGTCAAATACCGTATATCATACAGTCAAACATTTTCATGATAACCTGGTGAGTCATGTTTGCTAAAATAATCACGTCAAACATGTAACAATCATTTCTGTTAATAAAATACCTTTGGAAAAATTAATTGCTTTCAGGACACTTTACGGTTATTGAATTAATGTTAGGGATTGACCCAATCCAATACTATAACCTATTGACTTTGGTATAGTAACAATTGCCATTGTAACCTTTTATATTTCGGTATGATTGTGACCCATGTAATTTTACAACAGGACGTAATTTATACCTATTTCTATCGGTTATTTTGTCTCATACATTATCATGAATACTTTGTAGAATAAATGGATGTATGCCTAGCAGCGAAATCCAGGAGGAGGGTTTCGTCAAATATATAGACCGACGAGTACTGAACAGGACGAACCGCACTCTTCATATTCCAGTGCTAGCCGAGAACCCATTTATTCCATAAAAGCTTGTGAAAAATTGCTATATCAAAGCAATTTGCATAGAATACACATATATCATCAAAGACTGATCAAAATTTAGTTAATGTTGTAAACGACATGGTAATTCAAATCGTTTCTAATAATGATATGTATATATATACTTTGATATTTTCTTCCGCCTCTGTAGTTTCTTAAGTCAGAACAAATCTCTCCGAACTCTAGTTTTGTCACCCATGTACGAGTATCATTATTAATGTGCCCCCAAATGCCCTGGTACGGCCGAGAGTGGAGACAGTCCGCTCTCCCTCTCCAAATGCTCTCACATGGTCACGCGTATATAGCCTCTTACAGGGAATTCCTACTCACTGCCTTCTCGTGGCACCGGTGTTGTTTACCAAATTGAGGGGACGAAAAGAGAATGTCCTGCTCCAAAACTGGGCTGATGGACACGGCGAGTCCACCTAGGGGAGTTGGAAAACCCTCATTCCAAACCAATGGTGCACATGGGCTCCAGTATCCTGATGGAACAAATGGCGTATGTGTTTAAATAAATAAATAAATAAATAAAATTAGACATGGAGGCCATCAATAGGCTTCAACATACACAAAGGAAAAGCAAGATTCTCAAGTACAACTCGGAGAACGCCAACAAAACCAACCACACTTGATGGAGAAACTCTGGAAGAGGTAGAAAAATTCATGTAAGTGGGAAGCATCATTGGTGAAGAAGGAGGATCGGATGCAGACGTAAAGGCGAGGATTGGCAAAACAACCACAGCATTGTTCCAATTGAAGAACATATGGAACTCAAAACAACTGTCAAGTAATTTCAAAATGAGAATCTTCAATACGAACGTCAAGACAGTCCTACTGTATGGAGCTGAAACGTGGATAACTACTACATCCATCGTCAAGAAGGTACGAGTATTTATAAACAGTTGTCTACGCAAAATACTCAACATTCACTGCCCGGATACCATGAGCAACAGCGTTTTATGGGAGAGGACAAACCAGCTTCCATCAGAAGAGGAAATTAGGAAAAGACGTTGAAAGTGGATAAGACATACATTAAGGAAGTCACCAATGTTCATTACAAGGTAATCCCTAACTTGGAATCCGGAAGGGAAGCGTAAAAGAGGAAGACCAAATAACACATTAGATCGGGAAATAGGAGATATGAAAAGGATGAATGTTAATTAGAAAGAACTGGTAAAGATTTCCCAGGACAGGGCTGGATGAAGAATGCTGGTGTGCAGCCTATGCTCCTTCGCGAGGGGTAACAGGTATCGTAGATATTATGAAAACTTATTTACTTTAATAAAATTACTGAAATAAAACCTAATGGATAGATTCTCTGCATAATCATTACACGAACAAGCCTTCCAATTACAACGAAATAGATTTTGAAATAGAACCATTAATGGTCGACGGATTGAATATAATATTTAGGGAATTAAACCTATCATTAACAACAAAATGCCTAAGTCAGTAAGTCATTCAAAAATATATAGAATCTAGCATATATGTGCAATGATTCGAGTTTTCACCACAGAGAGATGAAATTATAAAGACAACAGTCATAGTAGTAGAAGTAGTAATATTACCAATGGTAATAGGAAAGATTAGGTGTAAACAATACACATGGGGGACGAGTGATAAACTTAAAACTCAGAATCTAAGGGAAGACAAAGAGCTATTGGATTTATATCACTGGACCGATTCTGAACTATATTTCAAATCTTCAACCATTGGTTACTGTAATAATGGGAACATAAACCTGAAAGTCTAGACTTAATACAACATAAGTCTGTCCAGCATTCAGTGACTTCATGGATTGATTCCAAGTTTTGTACTACTCGTACATATATTTCTCTTCTTACTCTTCCACACTATTAAACTTTACACATCTAGTTAAGTCCAGTCGATGTAATATGACTTAACAAACAAAAAAGGTTTTATAGAGTAACTAGTTTGATTCAAAAGTTGTCCCTCCCCAAATGACATCAGTCGAAGAAGCACTGCAAAATCAAGAAGCATCATAATGGTTTCTGTCTTGTTATGTCACGAACTTTTTAGCAACCACAGAATTAGCCTAAATCAAACATATAGTCACTTCATATATAATCACAACAATCGATATGAAACTTTTAGAGCACTGATTTAGAATTCCATGTAGTTGAAATTCTCAACATTCGATCATAGATCAGAAGGGGTTTTGTGGAGATTTCAGTATTTCCATAGTTGAAATCATGAGTCAATTGAAGCGAGACCACCATGGAAAATCTGGAAGTACTGGACGGCCGTTTCGTCCTATTATGGGACTCCTCAGCAGTGCGGAATCGTGGAGGAGCCCCATAATAGGACGAAACGGCCGTCCAGTACTTCCAGATTTTCCATGGTAGTCTAGATTCAATTGACTCATAATTTCAACTATGAAACATATGATCAATTCGTAAAGTAAGACAATAATTAACCAATGTTATTAAGGAATGAGTAATTCTATATGAAAATCAAATACTACTATAGTTAGTTCACTAAACACATCGTTGGTCACCGGCTACCATATAATGCTCCACTGCCTTGTTGGTTAAACCTCTAAGTCAAAAGCTCGGGGTATAGGCTTCTAAGAAAACCACCTGCTTCGGTTTGGGTACCCGAGCAGCATCACAGCCCTCACACAAATCAAATGAGATTTGTGTGCCGCATATGTATCTGGTGCCCCTTTGTACCAACATTTGTGTTCCAATAAATAAATAAGTAATAAAATTCCACGTTATTCCTTTTCTGTCCATAATTCTTTCTAACTCTCTGTAGAAAGGGAAATAACGTGTATATAATCCATCCAATTTATTAACTTCTATCCTTAGTTAGTTATCAGCTAATTTAATCATTCCAGACATTCTATTTGTCATATTCATTCAATTAACATTTAAGGTTTGTTCATTTCTATTGACTGTTTGAATCTTCTCACTGATATTTAGCACTGCAATCAATCATCCTCTTTTGGTATATGTCTAACCTGTGATGATTACCTCGATATCCTCATTAGGTCATGAACACTATAAGCAGAGATGTACAGTGGCTAATTGTGAAATCCAAGAAGCGCGTTTCGTCCTATTTGGGACTCATCTGCCAGATGTACCTGCATCCCAGAGTCGATGTACGCTTTATTATTTATTTTATTTAAACACATAAATATTGGTACAAGGAAGCACCAGATATATATGCGTCGCACAAATCTCATTCGATTTGTGTGAGGGCTGTCATACTGCCCAGGTGCTCAAACTCAAGCAAGTGGTTTATTCAGGGGGCCACACCCGGAGCCTTTGAACTAAAAGGTCTAATCCACAAGGCAGTGAAGCATCGTAAGGAGACGCAGTCCGATAGTAGCCGGTTGATTCATACGCCATTTGTTCCCTCAGGATACTGGAGTCCATGTGCACCATCGGTTTGGAATCAGGGTTTTCCAACTCCTCTAGGTGGACTAGCCTTGTCCACCAACCCTGTCAAAGCGCCGGTCATCCGCTTTTCGTCCTCTCACTTTCGTAAACAACACCCCCGCCACGAGAAGGCAGTGAGTAGGACTTCCCTGTCAGAGACTATATACGCGTGGCCGTATGGGAGCATTTGGGGGACTCAAATTTGAAATGTGTTAATTCCTAAAATATTTATTATACAATCGTCAATTAAACTATCCCTCCAGTTTTATAATCCAAAATATTAAGAATAACATTGTAAACTGTTATACAGAATCTACGAAATACCATATATTATGGCATTCAAGTAAAAAATATCATAATATAAACATCCCTTGAAATAATGCAAAAGACCCGTAAATGAAATGAATCCTTTAGATTGTGATATATTACCAAATTTCACTAGTTTAATTCTAACGTTTTCAATTTTCAATTTAGCCAACATTATTATTGGGATGATCCTGAAAATTACTCGCAATAGATATAACAAGCTCAGGAAACATTAAGAAGCATTTTATCCAATCAGTGTTTGATTAGAAGTTTTACTAGAAGCATCACCAAAATGAAAAGTCACATGTAGAGGTTCTGCTTGGTTGAATACTGTGCTGCTACTATGTTTAGTAGTATTCTAGAATTTTCAGGAAAACCCAAGGATTTCTAAAATACTATAAAAACCCTATATTTTCTGTGCATAAATGAACCTTTGGAGTAAAGTGCTTCCCATATATTTTGTGCCTTTTCTCTCGTGTTCAAGTTGCTGTGTAGTTCTAGTTTGAGGGTTACAAAACTAGCTTAGGATCCGAATAATAGAGTTCAATCAGTAAGATATATCAATTATCACACCCTAGAGTATAAAACACAAGCAAAAAAAAACAAATTGTATATCTATTACTTTCCGAATTTAGTTGAAAGATATTCATAGGGAAAGAGAATATGGATGTAAAATGAAAAAAAAAACTTCAAATTTATGAAGTATCTAACAATTACAATAATCAAACTGGTAATTAAAAAAAAAACAAATCAAACAGGCAACAATAGGGTATTATGACATAAAAAAGGAAATTCATATAATCACCTATGTGTACAGATATACAAATAGCATTGTGTGTGTGTGTGTGTGTGCGGGGTGTGTGTGTGGAGGAGAAGAGTAAGGGAAAGTAAACATTTCAATGATTCATATTTCATCTTTTAAATTGATTATATTTCTGTACAGTAACTCTAATTGATTAATAGACCAAGAACAGAATAAAATTACATAATACATAGATCGAAAATAAAAAAAAAACATCAGACAAAAATTAATATTTGCACAGTTAAATCAATAAATCGATAAACAAAAGAATAGACAACAATAAATAAATGATAACTATCGCATCATTGATTTATTTAATATTGTACACGGTAGATGATTGATCTTTAAAAAAAGGGAATAAGTCATTTTTTTGAGGGGGTGGAGGGGAGGGTAGTAAAAATAGTAATAAATACTGAAGTAGTGAAGATATATCACCACCACCACCACCACCACGAACAATGATAATGAGTAAGATAGGTGAATGATATTATTCACTCTTAATACATTCATTCAGTGAAGGTGAAAACTCAGATGGTAGAATTTTTTCTTATTCTAATGATGATTGTGTTTAATTTAGAAAAAAAAAGAGATTAACATATCGTTCATTGATTGAAACATAGCAAAATGATTACTGATAACTGGGAATTATTGAATAGAATAGGTGTTTTTCGTCCTAGATTAAGATTACCCCCCCCACAGTAGTAGTGCATAATTAAACTAGAATGAAGCATTTGCTCAAGAGTTATTCAATGGTTGTCATAGTTCATAATGTAAACAATAGCATTGTTATAATTAAAACAACAAATGAACCAAACAACAACAACAACATACAAAAGAAAAGAAGAAATCCCCACCCCCCAAGAAAAAAAAAGAAATCAAAAATAAATATGTAGGTAAGAAATGAGAAAAAAAATAAACGGAAGAGTATCAATCAACAAACAAATAAACAATAAATATTATATATCATTTAGATTACTTTTCTTTCTGTAAACAAAAAATATACACAGGTATATTACATTGTTTAAAATAATCAATAGAAGGCCAATGGCGGTGAGGTGTATAGGTGCAGCGGGGGGGGGCAGCGAAGGGTAAACAATAAGGACACAAAAATAATTGTGAAAGCACATAGAATCAAATATATGCGATAGATAATTGGTGTAAATTCTTTGAAAGGGAAGAGAAACCTCTTAGGGTTATATTTTATAAATATTTCTAATAATTGAAAACATTTAAGCAAAATAATAAAAAATAGATGACAATACATGAAAGAAGCAAAATTATAAATAATAGTTCACATAGATTAATCGATTACATAATATTGCACATCATACACACCGGATTTTATTTTCATTTATTCGTGATTACATAAAGTTCACATGCCCCCCACACCCTCCAAAAAGGAAGGAAATAATGTAACACAAAAAAACAGAGGTGATAATACGGCAGTTGATAGAATCCAATTGTAGTCTATTACTACTAACAATACTATTATTACTATTATGATCAGTAGTATTCATCTTCTAATAACTCTTGTTTATTGATCATGTTATCATTTGACTTTCCAGTCACAGAGATAACATGGATATTGGATGAGTGTACAGTAGTATTCGTGGTAGTAGTAGTAGTGGTAGTTGTAGAAGTGAAAGGATGAGAAAGAGGTCTAGATGTACTACTATTATTATTAATAGTATTAGTATTGTCATCGATCGTGAAGTGTGTATTCAATGCAGAAGTTGTATTCATCATTACTTGATTGGTACTAACACTAGTAGATTTATTAAGAAAGTTTGACTGTTGTTCGTCAGTTAATACTGATTGTAAATTTGTATTTGGGATTTGAATAAATTTATCAGTAGTTGATATAGTAGTATTAGTGTTGGGATGATGATGAATATTTGCCGGTTCAATTGGTATAAAACGATATAGTTCTTGATTGAATTGTTCCAATTTATGTAGATATTCACAACTTGTAGCATTTTCTATTTGATTTAATTCATTGGTAATATTATCATTATTTTTAGAAAACAACAATTTGCCAACCACTATTTGAAAACAAGACAATTTAGAAAACAAGAGAGTGAAACAATTAAAAATTGGATCGCTAGGGTCATTGATGAATCTAGCACAAAACAAACTTAAGAAATTTATAAAATATTGAAGAATCTTCATGGAAAAAAGGAGCGAAATAACTGTTTTCAAGTTGATCTAGTGTTTTCGTAAGGGTTTTGAAATTTGAGAGGGTGACCATCAACCTGTTGAGTTAATGAAGCTATAGAGGTAAATAGATCCCCAAAATAAATAGTTCTGTAAGTATTTGTTACTGATGTTGACCTCATTGGTTTTACTGGATACAGCCTAACTGAAGGTGCATAGTCAAGCATCTATACCAGATCATTATGATGTTCTACGCATCTCTCAAAACAACTAGTTAACTTAGATCAAACACTTTTTGATACATCGAATACCTTCCAAATGTACATTCGAACTCTTTCATTCCTGACTTTTGGTTTGAGTGAGTTTGAGTCAGTCAATTAGAGAGGTGTTATGAACAAAAGTGTCATCAAACCCTGAATATCCGTGACATCTTTAAAGTCTTTAATTATGAGCGATTTTTGAACTTTCCGATAGCGATTTCAATGTCTTGATGGCTCCTAACCAACTGAATTAGGAGCAATCATCTAAGTGCATAGTCCTAGAAAAATGTAAGACGAGGTAGCTAAAAGGCTTGATATCTGAGAACCTTCATAAATGTTATGGAATAATGGAGATGAAGATGGAATAGCTTCATGTATAGCCTCATAAATATAATTTTGCTGAGAATAAAAATGATGTACTCTAAATTTTCTAAAATAAAACTCTGACTTCATTTTGTGCACTTATTGAACCGGCTACGTATGTACAAGCTCTGTATGATTTTATGGTTAAGTTACTGGATAGGTAACATAATGACTTAAAAATAGTACTATAATAATAGCAAGTCAAAAAGTTTGTTAACATCTGCTAATCACTACTTTTTGGGTTCAACAGATGAATACTATCAATACAACTGAATTAGTCAGTTAGCCAGTCAGTCATTAACCGCATATATAGGATTATACTTAAGTCTTGGATGAGGGTGACGGAAACATTTCGTATATTCATGATACAGAATCCTAGAAATTTTTCGAAGGCTATCTTTTTGTTCGATTTGACACAATGTTAGAATAGTGAAAGCTTCGCAATATAGTTTAGAGTTTCTTTATTTACAAGGATACTAGGTATAATATTTCCTATACTCAATTCAATAACTTCACTTAGTATTGTTTGTTTGAATCTTCCCATTGATGCTTTTAAGACTGCAACTGGTCAGTCTCTCATTGGCATATGTGCATACTGTGCGTATTGCCTCGATATAGCCTTAATTCACAGGCATGATAAGCAAAGATGGCTAGTGGCTAGCAGTGGAATACAGGATGCGCGTTTCGTCCTATTTGGGACTCGTCAGCTGGATGTACTTGCATCTCAGGACTCAGTGGCCGAGTGGATAACGCGATGGCGTTTGAAGCGAAAGGTACTGGGTTCGGGTCCCAGAGTGAGTATCAACTCTGAGATGCAGGTACACCCAGTTGACGAGTCCTAAATAGGACGAAACGCGCGTCCTGGATTCCACTGCTAGCCACTATCCATCTTTGCTTATCAATTTAATAACGTTGGCTAAACATAGAAAACAAAAGGAATGCATAGTAGATAGATGAGTGACATAATCCTAATACAAAATTCTTTGCGAAATCTTAACTAGATACTTTTCGAATATGATTGGTTTCAAATAATTTAATCTTCTTATATAATCAACAATAGAAAACGCTTAACAGTCATAGAAACCAAAAAAAGTGTTTGTTTACCTTGAAGTTGTTGATTAACTGCTTTCATATTTTCAAATGTATCATGTAAGGCATATTTTGTTGATGATTGTACATCATCTGGATTTTGTTGTATTGATACATAGCGGCTACTTAATTCAGTAGTATTACTACCACTCGCGTTAGCTTGTTGTTGATTATAACTTTAAATAAAAATAGGAAAAGAGGTCAGAGGAGAAATGTAACCAAATTAAAAATACACTACATAAAAATATACTACTACTCGCAAGTGCGGGATCGTGGATGCGCACTGCTGAGGAGTCCGATAATAGGACAAAACGGCCGTCCAGGGCTTCCAGGTTTTCCATTGTAGTCTAGCTTCAATTGACTCATGATTTCAACTATGAAAATACTGAAATCTCCACAAAACCCCTTCCAAATTTAATATGAATAAATAAAAGTGACTACTTCATGTGTAAATTTCAAGTGAGGTTGGGATCGCATCACTGATTAATACTATTTGAAATCGGGGGCAATAAAAAAATCAAAGAGCAATCAATAGATGTTTCACTTGAGTATGGTACTACGTTTTAGGATTGTGCACGAATAAATCAAACATGAATCGAATCCTGGACTTTCAGACTTCATAAGAAGTGTATCATCTTTACGTAAATGGTTTGAAATCGCATAGTCCATAATCTAAATTTAAGTCAATTCATGTTTTTATTGCAATAATTATTCAGCGGGATTCGTAAATAATCCCCTTACTCTCGACGTGATTGCCCAGTCAAAATTCCTTATTTTAATAGGACTTTGAGATTTATTGTCGAAGTTTTTTATGGGCGTGCACACGATTATTATTGGATGAAAGGTTACGTATACCCACTGAATGTGGAGTCTCAGTCTAGAGTTGGATAGATGTCTAAGACTTCTTGGATTACAGTGCTTCCTTAGTTTGTATTAGTTCGTGTGGAGTAATAATTTCAACGACAAATAATTGCCACAGACTACTGAATCAAACATTTTAATCTTGGTACGACCAGGTAAATAACTACAAATCCATGTTGTCAACATTGAGGTCCAATTATTGTGCGTCCAGGGCTAATTGACCTTATCTAGCTATCTAAATTTAAAAAGACAAAAAGCAAGATTCCTAATTGAAAACTAACAGATTAGATTTGAGCTGTTTAATCACTTGGACAATGATCGATACATCAATCTTTAACGTACCTGATTTTTGTATACTTCAAAACTTATTTCTATCGATCAGTGTACAGGGAAAAAATAGGATAGACAAATTTCCAAAGTACAACACTATTATTATAATGTATTGTTTTATTGGTAAATAAATGATAACTACAAGTGAGGGTGGTTGATTGGAGGTAACCGACAGGAAACCTTGGACATAGGTTTCGTGTTAGTTGGCAATCATCAGCAAATCCTACACATATAATCTTGAGGGGACGATTGCTTTGGGCTCCACAGTCAGAGACATTACTAATGAACTATCCCGGTCACGACTGATACCCTGTAGGATTATTACCATCTTACATCTCAATGTGGTGCAAACGACATCGAGTCAGGTGGACCAGTGGGCACATTGCACTCTGATCAATAGAACTCTATTAGAACTTAGTATAACTTAACTAACATAACATTGGTCACCACTCAGCGATTCAATCTATTGTAAATAGTAACTGCTTTAACTCAGTAAGAGATTTTTAATTATTGTTTGAAAACGTTCAACGCTTTCTAACTTAAGCACAGTGAAACAGATACAGTTATTTATAGTAAATTTTACTCTAGTTATTGAACATCACACCATTACTATTAGTACTATTATTTTATACCTTCCCACAAGCTATTTTATTCTATTTTCCATGCTTATTTTCCCTATCCTTCATAATTATTGGATACGATTATTTTCACTCTTCCAAGTGGTGTGCTGAAACCAAGTGTGAATCGATAGACATTTGTGTTGAGTCCTCACGTTGTCCTACCTTATTAGTCTTATTTATAAAATGAATTCAGTAAATTACCTGTCACATAAGTTTTATTTGCTAATATATACTTGAAAGTCATATAAAGATGTTATGAGTGTGTGAAAAAGAATTTATCTCACTGTACCAATTGAAGAAGCCAGAGTGAAACTAGAAAATATATTCTCTTAAGTGGAATTGTAAGTCATTAAAACAATGAAGGTCAAGAGAACTGAATTTATTTATTATTTATTTAAACACATAAATATTGAAAAATGAACAATATTTGAGCGAACAATTGTTTTCAATAACTTCATCATCAGGCTCTACAGTTATAAGTCCAGAATTATAATATTTTACAAAGTCCAAAATGAGACATAAATATTGGTACAAGGAAGCACCAGATAAATATGCGCCACACAAATCTCATTTGATTTATGTGACGGCTGTGATACTGCTCAGGTTCCCAAACTGAAGTAGGTAGTTTCCTTAAGGGGCCATGCCAGGAGCCTTTGACCTAAAGGTCTGATACACAAGGCAGTGGAGCATCGTGAGGAGATGCAGTCCCGTGGTAGCCGGTGACCAACGATTGATTCATACTCCATTTGTCTCCTCAGGATACTGGAGCCCATGATTGATTTGGAATCAGGGTTTTCCATGTGAGAGCATTTCGAGAGGGAGAGCGAACTCTCTCCACTCTCGGCCGTACCAGGGCATTTGAGACTGATTTTAACTAGATAACCACTGAAAACCAGGAAGCATTAGACACCTGACCGTTGCTGCTACCATGACGTGGTTGTTCGGTTTGCCTATCGTGATGAAGCAATCGAGCTATGCTGGCTGGAACAATCGTTCCTCGAGGTCCTACCATGCCAGATAGGTCGGTTATAGAGCGGTGCGTGACCAGCCTCAAGCAGTTGTCCCCTGAGCACTGCGGTCACGCTCCCAGGTCGTTAAGACCAACACTAATCCGACTTCTTTTTCAGGTCCCTCAAGAAATACCCTTCCACGGTGTGGGCAGCCGGGAAGTGATATTAGCCCTCATACCCGTAACAGTACACGAGACCAAGTTGGTCACTCTCATATCCTTCCTACTCCTAATAACTCTCTTATCTCCACGACTAACCCTTCCCACGTCCTTTTATCACCTCGCACTGCTAGGGCAAACGATTCAAGTACACGGAACGTTATTCCTGGTCTCCTGAAACCACGCTGTAAACTACATGTAGGAACTTTTAATGTCCGGACATTGTGCCAAATAGGACAACAGGCTTCCTTAGTTAGGACTCTAGAATCTTACACCATTGATGTGTGCTGCGTCTCCGAAACGCGCATACAAGATCCGAGTAGTGTCATTCATTTGACCGCACCTAATCAAAATAAAGAACCATCTCGATATATGCTTCGTGTATATGGAAGCCCTGATGCTGCTTCCTGTGGCCTCGCTGGAGTAGGTATAGCATTAAGTCCTAGGGCAGAACTAGCTCTTTTAGACTGGATCCCATTAGACAGTCGCCTATGCGCTGTCCGACTAAACGGATCAGTAAGGACTCGGAAAGATAGGGAAACTCGTCGTTGCCTCTTCGTCGTCTCTGCCTACTCTCCCACTGACTGCAGCTCAGACGATATAAAAGATGAGTTTTACAGGAAACTTTCTGACCTCCGAAAAGCTAGGCGTTCTGATGTAGTAATAGTGGCTGGTGACTTTAATGCTCAAGTAGGTAAACTAAGTGAAAGGGAAAGATACCTGGGAGGATCTTATGGTGTTGTGGCTAAAAGGACAAATAATGGCGACCGTCTGTTGCAGCTGTGCTCAGATAACCGCCTATTTCTTGCAAATACCAACTTTAAGCATAAAGAAAAACATCTTTTGACATGGCGACCTCTGAATTCGTTTAAACGTTGGACCCAATTAGATCACATCACTATCAGCCACCGATGGAGGGGCTCGATAGAAGACTGTCGCTCATTCTGGGGCACATGCTTAGACTCAGATCATGCTCTAGTGCGAGCACGTATCTGTCTGCGTCTTACTGGACGTAGGAAAGACACTGCTGGGAAGCCTCTAAGGGTTCTACTTAATGATAAGCAAGCTAAGAATATATTTCAGGATGTTATATCTAGAGCCTTGATTCTTTATATGCCGCGAACTACTTGACTACTTGAACGATAGAACCCGCAACGACGCAAAGAGAGAAGACAAAGACTGGTAAGCAGGAAGTTTATTGCCCCAAACGGTGTCAAAATATAGCACAGAAATCTCGTGTATTTATAGTTTTTGGCTGAAAGTAAATTATCATTTAGGTCAACCAATAAGCACATAGGTATCAAACGAATCCGTCCAATGGAGAAGCTCCACGTTGGCATTTCTAGAACATTCCCCTAGCCGTGATTGGATGGAATGTCTGCGGCTCTTCCTGGGCTTCTTAGGGCTTCCGAGAGTCTACCGACGGGCCGTCCTTACACCTCCCCCCTTTGAAGTTTGTGATGTATGACTTCCTTTTAGGATCTACTTGAAACATTTCTGTTGCTCTCCTTTTTCTACTCAGCACCCTTGTCGGCTGTGCGTTTCCACTTTTACGTTTTCTTTGGTTGCGGCATTCTTCTGGGCTTTCCTGCGTTATATCCACCAGCAGGTGCAACGGTAGTCGTGTATCTGTCGCTGTTCTATGATCTTTCCTAATCTGATTAATGTGTCTGACACACTTCCCGTCCCTTGTCCGGACTAAATAGAGTACCTTCCCAATCCGCCGTTCTATAACGCCCAGTTTCCATTTCTGACCGCCTTGATACCATTTTACCATTACTTTCTCTCCTACCTTCAAGCTGCGGTCGCTCATCTGATACTCTTGTTCAGGTTTCGTTGTTTTCTTGGGTGGTAATATTTTGTCAAATATCGTCCGGATTTTCCTTCCAAACATACATTCTGCTGGTGACTTCCCTTCTGGCACCATCGGGTTAGGTGTGACTCTGTAGGTCATTAGGAATCTTCTGACCACCTGTTTCGGGTTACCCTCTCTTCCCCCCTTCAGCAAAGCTCTTTTAATCGTATCTACAAACCTCTCAGCTTGTCCATTGGATTGGGGATGGTATGGGGGAAACTGAAGGTGCCGTATACCATTTTCGCTGCAAAAACGTTTGAACGTTGAAGACGCAAATTGAGTACCATTGTCCGTTACTAAGATTTCTGGGACGCCAAAACAAGCGAATAGACTTGATAATTTGGAAATTGTGTTTTCCGACGTCGTACTTCTCATTTCATATACTTCCGGCCACTTTGTATAGGCATCCACTATGACTAAAAAGTTCTTTCCATGTATCGGGCCGGCGAAATCCGCGTGTAATCTTTGCCAGGGCCCATCCGGTTTCGGCCACGGTTGTGGTTTTACTTTCACTGGGTTCTTCGCCGCTTCTAAGCATGATTCACAGGTTTGGCACAATCGTTCTATCTCTTGGTCCATGGAAGGCCAGTACACGTAGCTTCGTGCCAGTGATTTCATCTTACTCATACCCGGATGCCCCATATGGAACTGCTTGAGTACTCGTCTTCGGCGAGTGCTGAGGATGACAACGCGTTGGCCAAACATGATACAGGAATCGACAATTGTGAGAGATTCTCGTCGACGGAAGCATTGTAAAATCTCTCCTTGCAGTCGTTCTGAAGGCCACTTATTGAGTAGAAAATGGAGGATAGTTTTCAAAGTATTATCTCTTTTGCTTGCTTCTTTAATATTTTCGTATGTAATCGGCAGGGCAGCAATAGCATCTGTTAACACAGCCTGAACTTCCGCTTCAGCTTCTACTGCGGCGACCAGTACATCTTCTTCATGTTTCGTCTGGGAACTAATCAGCCTGGAAAGTGCATCAGCCTGTCCAAAATTCGTCGTAGGATTGTATTTAATCTTGAAATCATATCCCAAGAGCGTTGTTGCCCATCTCTGTAAGCGGTTAGCTGTATAAACAGGAATACCCTTCTTGGACCCAAAAACTGTTAGTAGGGGTTTGTGGTCTGTTAATAATGTGAACTGCCTACCAAACAACATTTTGTGGAACTTTTTAACCGCGAAGATAATGGCTAGTGCCTCCTTCTCTATTTGACTGTAGTTTCTTTCTGTCACTGTCAGTGATCTGGATGCGTGGACAATGGCTTTCTCGGACCGGTCAGGGTAAATATGTGAGATCACAGCTCCTATTCCATAGTTCGATGCGTCTGCTGCAAGTACGATAGGGAGTGCTGGGTCATAATGTGCAAGCAGTAGATTTGAGGAGAGCAGCTTTTTCAGCTTTGAAAATGCATCCTGACATTCTCGTGACCAGACCCATTTGGTATCCTTCTTTAGCAAATCATTTAACGGTGCGCGCCAACGGTGCAGATCTGGTAGAAAAACACCATAATGGCTAATCATTCCCAAGAAAGAACGCAGGGTTGTTACATCAGTTGGTGGGGGCATTGTCTTAATTGCTTTAATGTTTTCCGGGTCAGGTCTCCTTCCGTTCTTGTCAATTATAAATCCCAAATAATGTACCTGCTCCATGTAGAAATCGCATTTTTCAGCACGCAATCTGAAACCATAATCCTCTATCCGTTTCAGGACAGTATCCAGTTTTTTATCCAAGTCTGCATAATCTGTACCCATAATAAGTATATCGTCCAAATAGGCAGCAGTACCAGGAATGTCCTGTAACATGGTATCCATGACTTGTTGGAAGATTGAGGGTGCTGTCTTTACCCCAAAAGGAAGTCTGTTATATCGGAATAATCCTTTATGCGTGTTTATCGTTAAATAATGCTTGCATTCTTCAGCAACTGGAATCTGTAAGTAAGCTTCTGATAAATCTAGCTTTGCAAAATACTTTCCTCCATTCAGTTTCGCGAACAAGTCTTCTGGTACTGGCAATGGATACTGGTGTGCTTCCAGTGCATCGTTTAGTCCTGTAGAATAATCTGCACATAGCCGGATGTCTCCGTTAAGTTTCTTAACAATCACTATTGGTGCCGCCCAATCAGAAAAATTTACTGGTTCTATAATTCCGCTTCTTTGGAGTCGTTCTAATTCCTGCTCAACAATTGGTAGAGCTGCGTAAGGTACGGGACGTTTAGGTCTGAACACTGGTCTTGCTCCCGGCCTTACGGTTAGTCGTGCTTTCACTTTTCTGCATTCCCCCAATTCTTCGGTGAATACTTGGCTATGTTTCTGGAGGACCAAGTTTCTCAGGTTTTGCTCAGTGGGTACACCCGATTTCACCCGACTACATATATAATTAATAGGCTGGTCAGCCAGATGTAGCATTTCGATTAGGTCAAGACCAAGCAAATCTAGTCCTGGACTTCCTGTGAGATATACTTTCACATTATTCTGTACATCACCTTTTCTGACTGGATAGTATATCTCTCCAACAATATTTAACTTTCCTCCAGATGCACTGTGTGCTAACTGAGTTGTAGGGAGCACCGAGGGTTTGCCAATATGACTCCATGTTTTGCGGCTGATCAGTGAAATATCTGAAGCAGTGTCAAGCTGTAGACGAGCACAGCGTCCATTAATCTCTAAGGTCACATATTTTCTTCGATTATGTTCTGTTCTGGTATGTGCTACCATTATTCTATTGATTGATGAACAGATTTTACGTCTTCGGAAATGAACACTTGATGGACGACAGTGCATCTTCTTCTTACAACATGTTTCTTTATGTCCTTTGAGCTGACATCTAGTGCACCGGTAGTTTCTGTATGGGCAGAACCTTTTGTAATGCAGCTCTCCGCAAAACCAACATGCGGATGGAGGCTTCTTAATGGTTATGTTCTGCTTTTGCTTCCCACTTACTGCCTGTACATAAGGTAGTCGACCATTATTTTCTACCATTGAAGTGTCATGCTTCAAGTTTACCAGATGCTGACATTCAGTAGTCACCTCTTGAAGGGTGATATTTGGACACTGTTCAATTTTACTTAGAATTCTGGTTCTAATGTCGGCGTCTTCTGAAGACTGTAAGCTGCATACGAAAACAAGACATTTGAATTGGTCTTCTGTCATTGCTGATAGTTTAAAGCGCTCACATTCACGCTTTATTATGCTAGCATGTTGCACCCAGTCATCGTTGCCAGCTTTTACTATCTTCAAGCACTGATAGCGAATATTGAACAGGGAAGACTGTTCACCAAAAATTTGCGACAAAATTTTAGTTGTTTCTTCGAATGAAATATCTCTTGGGTTCTTGGGCAGAATGTAATTAGTATATCGTTCATGTTCAATGGTACCCAGCTTCCGTAGTAGCACCCTGACCTTGGCGGCATCATCAAAAGTTTCTAGGTCAACATTAAAAACATCTTCATATTTCTTGTACCAAGACTCGAATGTTACACCAGCCAGACCATCAAAATGAAATTCGTGAATGGAATCAATGATACAGTCAGCATGCGATTTGGCAGAAACATCTGTAAGTCCATTCTTATTGAGGTTCATCTGCTGGGTTAGTGTTTCGAGCATGCGCATCTGGAATTGTTCAAACCGCTTTTCATGGCGCTCTAGAAAAGCTTCAAATTGGTCAAAGGTAATAGACATCTTGATAAGTTAACCCGTCGCCAGTTGTTATATCTAGAGCCTTGATTCTTTATATGCCGCGAACTACTTGACTACTTGAACGATAGAACCCGCAACGACGCAAAGAGAGAAGACAAAGACTGGTAAGCAGGAAGTTTATTGCCCCAAACGGTGTCAAAATATAGCACAGAAATCTCGTGTATTTATAGTTTTTGGCTGAAAGTAAATTATCATTTAGGTCAACCAATAAGCACATAGGTATCAAACGAATCCGTCCAATGGAGAAGCTCCACGTTGGCATTTCTAGAACATTCCCCTAGCCGTGATTGGATGGAATGTCTGCGGCTCTTCCTGGGCTTCTTAGGGCTTCCGAGAGTCTACCGACGGGCCGTCCTTACACAGGAACAACTGGAAAAACAGTTAGACAGACATGTAAGTCGTGCCCACCCCGAAGCAGCGTGGAATGACATCCGAAAAGCTGTGGAAACAGCAGTGATATCCGCTAGTAAGGTAAGCCATAAGGTCATGGAGAAACAATGGATCTCGGCAGCATCTACCACACTGATAGATGCTCGAAAACTCATCCCACGTGGCTCTGAACATAACGAAGAGCGGAGTCAGCTTAAGCGAAGGCTAATAAGAAGCCTACGCAATGATCGTGAACAGTGGTGGGTAGCGAAAGCAAGAGAGATGGAAAAGGCAGCGGCAATAGGTAACAGCAGACAGCTGTTCAGACTTATTAAAGAAACCGGCATTAGGAACCCAACTATTGGCGAAACTACCTCAGACAAAGACGGGCATATCATTCATTCTCAATCCAGGAGATTGGATCGATGGGCAGAACACTTTAGGAATCAGTTCAACTGGCCTTCAGCCACACTTCAGTTACCCACGATCCCCAGTCGTCCTGAATGGCAAATTGATGTAAGTCCTCCAACTCTATACGAGGTTGAAAAAACTATAGGAAATCTAAAGCGAGGGAGAGCAGCAGGCCCTGAAAGGTTGACCACTGAGATTTTTAAGGATGGTGGTCCAGTACTAGCAGTGAGATTGACTGAGGTCTTAGGTAAATCTGGGAACTGGACGTAATTCCATCTGACTGGTCCCAATCACAGATTGTGCCAGTCTATAAGAAAGGATAAAAGTCCTCCTGTGACAATCACAGAGGAATCACTTTGATGAATATAGTGTCTAAAATATTAGCTTCAATAATGCTAGGACGCCTAACCAAAGCTCGTGACTAGAGAAAACGAGGCTGGTTTTCGACCTGGACGTGGTTGCATAGACCAGATATTCACTCTACGTCAGGTCCTAGAACATAGACATACATTCAGACGTCCCACAATAGTAGTATTTCTTGACCTTAAGGCGCCATTTGACTCCGTTGATCGTGAGGTTCTATGGCAGTGTTTGTCACTGAAAGGAGTACCAAAGAAGTACATTAACTTCATAAAGGCTCTCTACTCGAACACAACTGGTCGAGTTAGAGCCTATGACGAACTGTCATCAGAACTGATGACCACAAGTGGCGTTCGTCAGGGCTGTCCACTCTCCCCATTCTTGTTTAACTTTGTCATTGACATACTTTTAGAGATAGCACTTTCATCAGCTAAACCTCCAGAAGTTGAACTTTTACCGGGAGATTCACTTGTTGACTTAGAATACGCCGACGACATAGTTTTACTCGGTGAAGACGCTGACAAAATGCAGAGTCTTCTGACCACCATAAGCAACAATGCAGGCATGTTCGGGATGCGATTCTCTCCCTCGAAGTGCAAAATGTTACTTCAGGATCGGGTTGCATCAACAACTGAACTAATGATAGGGAGTGAAATAGTTGAGTGTGTTGACCGCTTCACTTATTTTGGGAGTCTCATCAGCTCTTGTGGTCTGGTGTGTGACGAAATCTCAGCACGGATACAGAAGGCTCGTCTAGCTTTCGCCAACTTGCGTCATTTATGGTGTAGGCGAGATATCCGTCTAGCAACCAAAGGACGGGTTTACTGTGCAGCAGTTCGTCCCGTCCTACTTTATGGTAGTGAAACATGGCCGATAAGAGTAGAGGATATTAATAGGCTACTAGTATTCGATCATAGGTGTCTTCGACGCATTGCTCGTATATCCTGGGACCACCGGGTAAGTAATGCAGATGTTAGGAAACGGGTACTAGGTAAGGATGGCAAATCGATTGTTGAAGTATTGAAACTTCATCAGTTGAGATGGCTGGGACATGTGTTACGTATGCCCAACCACCGACTGCCCCGACGTGCAATGCTTTATGGTGTAGGAGCAGGATGGAAGAAAGCTAGGGGTGGCCAGACCAAAACATGGCATAAATCCATGAAGTCACTGACAAGTAGACTGGGCCATGTTGGTAGGTGTAGACTACCTGGTTGGGACTCGCGAGATGATAACAACCGATGGTTAGAGACCTTGAATGACATGGCTCAAAATCGTTTGCAATGGCGAAGGTGCATACACTTTATGTTCTACCAAATTCTAGTCTTCTGAATTCTTCATGTCCGTATCCTTTTTCTCTTTCCAAATTTATTTCACCGTATTATACTCCTTGAATAACATCTTCAAACCCTTATCTTTTACATAATACTTATACTCTTACTACTTCTACCACTATGGGATTTGAATCGACAACTTCATCTCTGTGCTAATGTGGTATGGCAATTCGAACTGATGTACGTACGTACGAAGTTCTACGTTGTAACTGATTGACTGACTGAAGCATTAGACAATATAAGACTCTTCAGAAGTAAATATCCACAATATCACATGCGAGTGGGTCGAGAACATTGTGTTGTATGCATTACAACATAATAATGAGTCAAATGCAAATATAGGGGAGCTTTAGTGAGCATCTTAATATAAGTTATTAGTACATATTAATAAGATGCTAATTTGATTGTCAGATTATCAATTCAAGAATCCAACTTTTAATCAATAGCTAGCAGATCCAAAATTTGGTTTACCTATTACGGTTAAAGTAAGCAATAGAGTAACATGTCTAAGCCCCAGATACAACTCATGACTAAAAGCTGAGAGCAAACAAATCTATACTTGATAAATGATTTTCTATTATATATAAATGAATTAGATTCCTTTTGGTTTGCTTACAAACCCATAAAAGCATTTTTAAGGCGTTATAATTTGACAAAATAGATCATATTATAGAGTTTTTCGTACACCTATTCCTTTTGTCTTATTCGGATGATTGAATGCTAGGAGACTATGTGAGCAACAACTAAATCACTATTCAAAAAAGAAAAATATACTGATCAATATGTTTAGATGATAAACAAACAAATAAACAATCAGAAGGCGTTTTTTGTGGAGATTTGGTATTTTCATAGTTGAAATCATGAGTCAGTTGAAGCTAGACCACCAGGGAAAACCTGGAAGCACTGGAAGGCCGTTTCGTCCAATTATGTGATTCCTCAGGACCTGGGTTCGAATCTCGCGAGTCGAGGTCGTGGATGCGCACTGCCACTGAGGAGTCCCATAATAGGACGAAACGGCCGTCCAGTGCTTCGAGGTTTTCCCTGATGGTCTAGCTTCAATTGACTCATGCTTTCAACTATGAAAATAAACAATCAATCAATCAACCAATATATTTACTTATTTACACATATATCATCTGAATTATTTTTATGAATTAATTAATATTACCTTAATCGATAGGCTAATTTATCGGAGAATTGACGTAGTTTTATAGACAGATACCGAATTGTATCGACCATGAGTGAATAGTAAATCTATATTGGAAAGAAAAATAATTCAAGTAGATTCATATAAAGAAAAGATCTAGATTATTATTTAGAAGGATATATAATCGCCAAATACATCTATCTTATAAGGAAATCGGTATCAGTATACCATTAGGATGATTATGATCGACTTATCAGCCAATCAAGAGACAATATTTAGTTCTAAATTAATTAACAATACCCCCCCCCCACCATAAAATTACACTAGAATAATCGCTTTAATTAACCTATATATATGTTGAATTATTCTTTATAGTGAAGGGACAATATTGAAGCTACATATTAACAGTTGGGTTAGTGTTGTGAATTAGATTTGCAATCTTCTAGGAAATTTTTCGGTCACTAACTGATATTAGCTATAATGCAAAAGGTCGGGGTTAATTATTCGATGTTAAGCTGGAGTTATGAGTTGGGATTACGAATTAGGATTAAGGTTTTCATTGTGAAATGACATCAATTGTAATACAATGATATGATGACACCAATTTATTGACAAATTTAATAAACATAAAGCTGAGATTTATTATCAAAAGTTAGAATACCATCTAGCTACATAAACATCAATTCAGCACTGAATCAAACCAAGTACCTGAACACATAATTTGCATTCAAAGAAGGTTCTTAAATATCGTGCAATATTCACTTTTTGATTGCATAACAAACATTTTTTATATAGTTGAGATCATGAGTCATTTGAAGCTAGATCACCATGTAAAACTTGGAAGCACTGAACGGCCGTTTCGCCCTATTGTGAGACTCCTCAGCAGAGTGCAACCACGATCTCACCTCGCGAGATTCGGACCCAGGACCTTTCAGTCTCGGGCGCGAGCACTTAACCACTAGTTTATTAGTTCCAAGCATTTTACGGACCAAATGTTACCGATTTCACTTAGTTTGCAATGAAATACAAGTTATATTTCGAAGAGTTCCCGATTTCATGAAAAACATCAACAACGTGTTATTTTCATTCTATTTGATTCATTCAAAGTCACTAGTATAGTATAAGTTTACAAAGAAACTAATGACGATTATGATGAGAAGTAAACTCTACTCACAGACTTACAATATATTTTTACTACGATTAGTGTTTTAGTGCCAACTACTTAGTTCATAGATTCTAATTTTTGCAACTGATCTACAAACGACTGACTTGAATGTATTTTCAATTCTACTGGGATCATCATCACCACAGCTTCTACTAATAAACTCGTCTTCATTATTTTAGTCTCGTTTACTTTGGTTTAAGCCAGAAATTTGATATATTGACATAGTGCATATATGTAACATAAACTCTGATAATCATATATTACACAAACATGAAAGTGGAAGAATGATGACATGAAAGAGACAAGAAAAAACTACAAGTTGATCAAAAGTTTAGTAAATATCTAAGTCGTTTACGTTTAGTCTAACAGAACTTGATGGAAATTATAAAAGTTTGAGATAAATTGATAAAATTCATTCTACCAAACAATAGATACCAAAAATAGGTAAATTCGCCTGTTACACCTGATGGAGTATAGGCTGCCAATCAGCAATTTCCAAACAACTCTATTCTGAGATCACCTCTCGACCTCATCAAAACCACCATTCATAATTTTGATGTCTGCCTCCAATCCCCTGACAAATCTGTTCCACGTTCTGCCTTGAGGATTTCCAGTTAGAACTTGATTTGTGATGCAGTTTGATAATTTCCACAATGTGTGTTGTGACCCATCCATCTACATCATCTTTCCCTAATCTCCTTTTCACTTGAAACCTGCTTTGTTACCTGATACACTACGTTGCTGCTGATTGAATACAATCAACAGATAAGCAGTATCTCACATTGACAACCATTTACTAATGCCTATACCTCTCTGATGATGACGGTCGTAGTAGTTCTCGAAGTTCCAAATCCCTACAATACCACCACCTCAACTTTGTATTGAAACTGTGACTTTGTTGTTCATTGAAAGACAGTTGTTTTTAGTTGCCGATGTTCTTCATTTGTAGGAATACAACCCTTGTTTTGTCAATCCATGTATTCACATGTGCATCAGATTCACCTCGTTTATCAATAATGCTTACAACACATGCGAAAGTGTCCACCTATTTCACAGTTTCTCCATCAAGTGTAATTTAATTGAATGGTGCTGACTGTGTTATACATTAAGATCGTACATTTTGTCTTGTGTATGTTGAAACGTAGTGTTATTGAGTGTATTTCTACATTGTCTGTGTCCACCTACATTTGTTGTTGTTTGTGGGATGGTAGAAAGAAGTCATATGAGGAATCCGAATGGTTTATCCGCATGCAAGCTGTCGATTGTATTCCGTGCTCCACCTGAGATGTGTACGTCCTCATAATCCAGTCAACCACTAGAAGGCAGATAGAGGGTGAGAGTGATCAGTCTTATCTGAGACCAGTCTACTCCAGGCGGAGTTAATATAAACTAAGAACATCGAGGAAACACACTATTCTTTAGGTCAATGAAAACAGTGAAAATATACTTCGCTGAAAAACCAATCAGATTTAAATTAGCGGATCATAGATTTTTGCGTCAAATTCAAAATATGATAATGGAAAACTTGTACGTTATGTATGAGCTATGGAAAGCTTACCAGCATCTAGTTACTAAGATCCTAAAATCTGATAAACATCAGAAAGACACAAACAATGAGGGAAAACTTGAGCGATTCATAAAGTGGTATCAAGAAAGGGATTAGTCGTATGCAGGAAAACAATGACAGGAAACAAGTAGAATTAAAATGTCTATGATATCTTAACATGAATTTTTACATTTTTCATGATAACCTTAAACCTAGGCTCTGAACACTAACTGTTATTTTGGCATTTTGAAAAAAAGTTGATTATTTGTGATGCCTGCATTCTGATTGGTTAATAATTGTATAACTTTCTCAGGGTCATCAGCAAATTATATTCTCCTCATAAAACCAAATAAATAAACTTATTTAAGGTAAAATTTATAAAAATCAAGCACTTACAGCAGATTCATTTGGATCAGAACTATCTGGATCAAAATTTGGACTTAATTGGAATGATTGAGGTGATAAAATAAAATCGGTAAATTTTTCATCTCTACCATTTTGTACAGTAGGAATATTTAGTTTCTTAGTATTATTAAGAGGAAATTTTTGATAATTTGATAAATTTTCAGGAGCAACTGATAACATTGTTTCCAATGTACGATGAGGTAATGGTGTAGTGAAAGCGGAACATTCAACAATTTCAGATAGACCTGGATCTGTAGTACTATCTGGTAATGTAGGCATAGTTTGTAAATTATCATTTATTAATCGTAAATTAATTGTTTTAACATCTGGATACAATCTATTTATCGGTTGAAATTCATTTTTATTCTCTTCACTACAACTTCCATCGGATTGAAATAGCTATGATTGACAAGAGAACATAAATGAATATATGATTGTATTTTATATTGAAAAGTATTTTTTTCTAGACGCATCAGTTAAATATAGTTGAAATCATGAGTCAATTAAAGCTAGACCACCGTGGAAAACCTGGAAGCAGTGCGCATCCACTGCTGAGGAGTCCAACAATTGGACGAAACGGCCGTCCAGTGCTTCCAGGTTTTCCATGATGATTCATGATTTCAAATATATACAAAAATTGCTTAAAACCTCCACAGAAAACCCCCACATCAGTTAAATGTTGTATAGAAATTGGAAGATTAGTTATTTGTAATGATTTGAATTATCCAGTTTTTTTATTTTTTTTCAGACTGAAATTGATTAGCTTGCATTTTGACAAGATAAAATATCAAAAAACTGGATGATCTTAATCTTTATAAATAACAGTGATAGTTGTTAAACAACTAGTTGATATCTGAATTCAGTAGAGTAGTGAATAAATGGATTGATTTTTGAACCAATGAATAGCGATTTTTGAGTATCAGCGTTACTGTTCAATTCAGATGATGTGTGTAGCTAGTTGAAAAAGACATTAATACGTAACGAGTTTATTCTGGGTGTTATAATGGTTGAAAGCGATTGACAGAAATTCATTGATGTAGGTTTCGTGTTATTTTGTACTGATCAATAATAGAAGTGGATATAAAAAACATTCAGTAATCTATTGGTGTAAAGGCTTCAATTCTGAAGGAAGAGATACTCAGGACGATGAGTTTACTTAATGAATAGACGACTTCGAATAGGATCTTTGAGAAATCGGCTGAATAGAAAAATATTGCATCTCTAAGCCTACATCTCACCTCAAGATCAAACGGCAGGAGAGAAATTATAAACGAGGGATGCTATTGCAGAAAGTCAGTAAAGAGGCTAAAGATCATCTCTTTGGTCAGAAAGATGAGTATATATATATATATATATATATATATATATATATATATATTCCAATGATTTTTGTACTTAATTACTCCACTTGCCAAATACTGCTTCCTAAGCACTTCTCAGTTTATTTATTCGTGTTGCTGATTAGATAGGCATTTAAGAAGAGTGCAACAGAGACAGATGTCGTGAGTTGCAACAATCCTGGAGCACTCATTAAGCCTAATGAAATTACTCCAATGATATATCATTATGTACAATACTTACCGGTTCTTTAGCCAGACTATTAAGACCTTGAGCAAGTTCGGACATTCGAGCTACCCAAGTTTGATAAGATTCAGCATCTAACGTAGTCAAATATTTCTGCGGATCTAAAAAGTTAAAATAAAGGATTTGGGAAGGTTATTAAATTTCACAGTTTGGGTTACGGACTGATCCTAGTTACACAACTATTGTAAGCCAGAATGCACTGGACAGATGTTTAGTCTTAGCAAAGGACTCCTCAGCAGTTCACATCGCCTTCCGGCCACTACTACCCAAAGTTCAAACCATAACTCTTAGATCTAGTAGCGAATTCTGGATCTTTAGACCACTGATTTGGCCTTCAATAGTTTACATATCTGAGTTAAATCAGTTCTTGATGTTGTGTATTCATTTCCCAATACCACGAGTATCTGATTATCTAACACTCAACACCGTTAAACGACTTGTCACAAAGACTGAAGGTCATTAGCTAAATCACCAGTGGAGTCATGAGAAAGTACTCCCAAGGAATTCTACATAGCTATACAGTGTTTTCTGGTTTTCAATATCAATGTAATATAAATTCTAATAAAAGGACTATATTAATGGCTAAAAATAAAACAAGCGAGATAATTCCGAAATGCACGACTTTAATATATGACACAGTAAGCACCATTCAATTAAATCACATTTGATGGAGAAACTGTGAAATAGGTGGACACTTTTACGTGTGTGGGAAGCATTATTGATAAACGAGGTGAATCCGATGCACATGTGAATACATGGATCGACAAAACAAGGGATGCATTCCTACAAATGAAGAACATCTGCAACTCGAAACAACTTTCTGTCTGTCTGTCAGTCAACAACAAAGTCACAGTTTCAATACAAAGTTGAGGTGGTGGTATTGTAGGGATTGAGAACTTCGAGAACTACTACGAACGTCATCATCAGAGAGGTATATGCATTAGAAAATGGTTGTCAATGTGAGATAGTGCTTATCTATTGATTGTATTCAGTCAACAGCAACGTAGTGTATCAGGGAACAGGGACGAATATACTGTGCAGCAGTTCGTTCTGTTCTACTTCACAGCTGCAAAACATGGTCATTAAAATTAGAAGATACATGTAATCTACTAGTATTTGACCACAGATATCTTACAAACATTGCTTGCATCTTCTGGGATCACTGGGTAAATAATAGTGAGGTCAGACACAGGGTATTAGAGAATGATGATAAATCAGTTGATGAGATTGTGGATCTTTATCGACTGAGATGATCGGGGCACGTGTTACGTATTCCTGAACACCGATTACCATGACGCTCAATGCTGACTAGTATAGGGGATAGTTGGAAGAGAGTTAGGGACTGTCAAACCAAAACGTGGCATTAGTGCTTGAAGTCACTAACTTCTAGTCTGAGCCATGTTGGCAGATGCAGACTACTTGGTTGGGGTCCGCGTGACTATCGTAACCAATGGTTGGAGACTCTAGGAGACATGGCTCAGGATCGATCACAATGGCATAGGTGTATACACTCTTTATCTTCCTTTAAACCTTGAGACTAAAATTGCTTCATATCTCTCCTCCTTCCTGTACTATATCCTTATGTACAATCTTTCTTTTATATATTAATACCATAGAATTAACTACTTCTATGATTTCGGTGTTCATCTTGTTGTGCTAATGAGGTATGGCAACTTGGACCGATGCATATATGTACCTGGTCTTTCGTTGTAGCTGACTGACTGAGGGAACAAAGCGGTTTACAACCGAAGAGAAAGTTAGGGAAAAATGATGTAGGTGGATGGGTCACAACAGACATTATGGAAATTATCAAACTCCATCACGAATCAAGTTCTAACTCGGAATCGTCAAGGCGAACCGTGGAACAAATTGGTCAGGGGATTGGAGGCAGACATCATTAGTATGAATGGTGGTTTTGATCAGGTTGAGGAGATATCATATAATAGAATTATTTGGAGGTTGCTGGCTAGCCATCCATTCATAATCCACGAGGAGTAACAGGAGCAATAGATAATAATAATAATGGTGAAGACGATGATAGAGAATTATTGGATTTAAATGTAATGCAACTGCATGGGAGTGTAACTCTTAAAAAAACGTTTCATTTGACCAAACTGTGTTTAGATTAGCTAAAGTGTTAACAACAGTTAAAACCATACTTCGAACGAGAAAATTCACTGTTTTTTTAATTTTTCTTTCACCCAAACTAGGAAATTTAGATTAATCAACACGACTTAATTCAAAAGGTCAGGGATTTCATAGACTGATGTTATTTGTTAATTTGGTCATTTATAGTTTTCTTCCAAATTACTTTTACTCCGGCCAGTATTAAGCGTTGAGAGTAGGCGGTAGTTTGATGTACATAATACACTTCCCAATCAACTCAGTCGATGAAGATTCACAACGTTCCCAAAAGATTCGGCGTATATTTATAATAAAAGCTTATGCCTAACCTTAGTATCGGTTACTTGGTTGTTCCATTGTAAGCAAGTATAAAACCTCTTAATCCATATTAGCTTTATAAACATTAGTGAAATCCTCCTTCCGTTATATTACGATTGATTTTAGAAAATAAGTGGATTATGACTAACTATGGAATATAGGATGCGAGTTTCGTCTTATTTGGGGTTCGTCAGTTAGATTTGTCTGGATACCAACAATAATTTTTATATTTGGACTTAAATCCGGCACATTTTGCTTTGAAAACCAACACATTTACCCAAAGACTATTGAATTTAAACTAACTTGATTTATTTTATATTGAACAATCTTAAGTAGCAGCATGTTTGTTAACCTTTAAAAAAAGAACAGGTGTTGGACATTAAAATGTTTTAGTGATTACTTATACTTCCAGACATTATTTATGTACGAACTTTTACTGTAACTATTAGGTGTAGTATAAGGATTTGTATCAGTAAAGAAAACAAATTGTAGGTTTGTCTGCAAGGAACTTATTCAACACAAGAAGTTCGTATATATTTACAAAAGTACATAGAGATTAGTATGTGTCTTTGTAAGCGTATACAATATGAAAAAATCCTGTGTACAATGTCAATTCATTCAGTTAGAGTAATACATATAAAATCACTATACACTAACCGACAATATAAATTTATCCATTTGGCTCAATCAATTCACTAAAGCATTTTTGAACCGAAAAAAAAATAAAAACTTAGATAAGAATTTAAAAGTATGACTTTTGAAAAGTAAAATTTGAAAAGAATATTTAGTTTCGTATCGGTTGTTTGAATCTTCCCATCGATGTTTAGAACTGCAATTGATTGGCGTATATATATCCTGTGCGGACTGACTCGATATTACCTTACGTCACCAGTATTATAAGCAAAGATGGATGGTATCTAGCAGTGGAATCCAGAATCCAGGTTCCGTTCTATTTGGTCAGCTGGATGTGCTTGCATCCCAGAGACGATGTTCACTCCGGGACTCGAACACAGTACCGCTTGCTTCAAACGCTATCGCTTTGTCCACATAACTACTGAGTGCTGAGAGCTAATAGCTTGTGTTTGAGTTCCAGAGTGAACATCATCTGTGGGATGCAGGTACATCCAGCTGAAGAGTCCTAAATAAGACGAAACAAGCGTCCTGGATTCCACTGCTAGCCACCATCTCTGCTTATAATGAAAAGATTAGTTTGTTACCTGTTAATGTATACACCTGGTGAGTGTACGTAAAAGTACATCTCAGTCGCCGGATTTGAAGAATATGTTTAACATATAAGATTTAAGAGAAAGATAAATAGGAAGACAATATTTTATTCAGGATAAATACGCATCAATCTGAATTGTCAGTACATGGGAAAAAATTTGAAAAGAAGGGAGGTTTGTAAATAAAATATTGATAGACTGAAATAAATATTAAATAACACTAGCCTACTAGCACAAGAAATGCCATGGATGAGATATGTGAATATCTAACGAAGGACTCTGGTTTACAAAGCACAACCTTGGCATTAAAATAACAGAGAAGGTGAAGCACATACCTCCCTCTTCACAAATGTTTGAGTGAATAAAACTGAAGTTAACCGTAAAATATTTTGGTGATTTGTTAATAAGCACTGATTAAAATGTGTTTGAATTATGTGTTCCGTATTAATTTGAATCATAAAGCTTAGTTGAAAGAAAGAAAAAGGTGATCAAAGCCAATACACAAATTACGTTGACAAGTTGCAAACCATGTGCGTAAAAAATGTACATCAATCATTATTTTAAAACACTTTTGGAGTTTAGAGCAATGGTTATCTCTTCCATTTGGTTTAACATTTTTCATGTGCGTATGTACATATACACACAGAAGTACATATATGTCTGCCCCCAAATGCCCTGGTACAGCCGAGAGTGGGGAGAGTCCGCTCTCCCTCTCCGAATTCCCTCATATGGCCAGCGAATATATAGCCTCTGACAGGGAAGTCCTACTCACTGCCTTCTCGCATCACGGGTGTTGTTTACGAAATTGAGAGGACGAAAGGCGGATGTCCGGCGCTTTAATCGGGTTGGCGGATACAGAAAGTTCACCTAGAGGAGTTGGAAAACCCTCATTCCAAACCAATGGTGCACATGGACTCCAGTATCCTGAGGGAACAAATGGCGTATGAATCAATCGTTGGTCACCGGATACCATGGGACTGCATCTCCTCACGATGCTCCACTGCCTTGTGGACTAGACCTTCATGCCGAAGGCTCGGGATGTAGCCCCCTAAGAAAACCACCTGCTTTAGTCTGGGCACCTGAGCGATATCACAGCCCTTACACAAATCAAATGAGATTTGTGAGGCGCATACATATCTGGTGCTTCCTTGTATCAATATTCATGTGTTTAAATAAAATAAAAATAAAACATATATGTCTGAGAATATTCTTATTTGTTAAAATACTACTTATATGTAATCATTTGTAGTTCATATACTCATGCTGTATAGATTTTATAGAATATTTTTCAGAAATTTCAATTTTTATAAGCAGAGATGGATGGTGGCTACCACTGGATTTTAGGACGCTTGTTTCGTCCCATCTGGGACTCATCAGCTAAGTGCAGCTGCATTTCAGAGTTGAATTTCAGCTTTTATTTTATGCAATGGTAAAATCCCTCATAAGATTCATCCACACATAAAGGTGTAATCTAGAACAAACATATAATAATTGAAGTCAGAAGAACTGTTAGATGTAGAGAAATTACTTAAACCAAGAAATAGTTTATACTATTAGGAAGAATATCCTTGTTTTAGTTGTCTTTATTTATATTATTATACTGACTGTACAATGAAACATATTTTGTAGGTCCTTAATATTCATATAAATTCATTGGTGGGTAATAATGAACAAAATGTTCTTCAATCATCAGCGATGATCGAAGTTTCATTAATTACGTTTGAGATATGGTTCAGAAAGTAATTCTATCAGAATGGGAGTATTCATTATAAACAATTTGCGATCTAGTTCATCTTTTATTCATTTAAACACAAACATTAGTAAAAGGAAGCACCAAATATATATGCGCCACACTTCGTCATTCGATTTGCGTAGGGGATGGAATACTGACCGGATGCCAAAACCCGAACCTTTGAGCTAAAGACCTAAACCACAAGGCAACGGAGTGTCATAAGATGCAATCCCATGGTAGCCGGTGACCAACAGTAGGTTCATACACCATTTGTTTCCTTAGAGTCCTGGAGCCCATGTGCGCCATTGGTTTGGAAACAGGGTTTTTGAACTTCCCTAGGTAGATCCTCCGTATCCACCAAACAGGTTAAAGCGCCAGACATTCGCCTTTCGTCCTTTTAATTTTGTGAACAACAACCCTACCGCGAGAAGGCAGTTCCTCATAACACGCACGCTTGATTGATACAAATAGATCAAAAACTTCAAGACTGTCTAGGACACTCTATTACCGACAGGTGAACTGTATCAAGTCCTCTAACGGTACTCGAACGTATAGAACCCACAGTCACAAAATCAGAAGACGGAAGAAATGATTGTTGGGTAAGAATCAAAACTGTACGGAAAAACACGGGTATTTATGGATATTAGCGTTAGTTATAGAATTATTATGATTCAAGCAATCCTCAAGGAGGCAAGTTGTTACCCTCCAATCATAGCATGTCAAGTTGAAATTACAGAAAGCTCCATCAGGCTCTGATTGGATGGAAACTCTTTGGCTCCTTTAGGGCCTCTGAAGGCTGTGTCGTACTTCTCAGAAGCCATTCCAATAAATTGAAGGAATAAAAACCATTTATGCGCGTTTGAGTTTGTCCAAACTCACCCAGACAGTGATATGTATGTGGGAAAAATCGAAACTAAAAGCCATTGTATGTGCAAGACTCGACTGTTGGGAGTTTCATGCATCAAATGATGCCGGCATAGAAGACTAACGTTTGCTATTTATTGACTTTAATTTGAGATAGATACTTCTTTACTATTCGTAGGTATACAAGATCAAATAGTGAACGACCTGCTCTCCCAAACAATACTTTTACTGGGAGAACTCACTTCATTTATCTGGCTTAGGTATCAAGCCAAGGAAGAAATATGAGTAAAAGATAAACATAAGTAACAAATAATCTCTGTTATAAAAACATAATTTGTTATGTTCTTTAGACCGTTCGGAGTTCAAATATATAACTGGAGAATTTGAGTAAAGTGTTTGTCGAGATTATCGAGTCCTACAATTCACATAATGAGCTAACCTTAATTAGAAAATGATTTAAAGGTTAAGCGCTCGCCTCAATAACTGAAGGTCAGGAGGTCGCACAATTCCCGATAGTCCCATAAAAAACAACTTTTCAGTGCTTTCTCTGAGGTGTGGCAACTTGGACCGATACATATATGTGCCTGGTCCTACGTTACAGCTGACTGACTCTTTTCATGGTTATCCAGCCAAGATCAGCTCGTAATGTAATTTATACAGAAAAAATCGTTATAACAATTTGATATTGTGTACAAAGAATTCCATGATGTCCCAAAACGTATCATTGAATAAAGAACTGTTACTAAAAAGTAACACAGAATCTTTGAAATCTTACAACAATCAACTGAAGTCATACCATTTAACTTTGTTTAAAGATATTTAGAGAAATTTCATTAAATAGGGTACATTGAGCAGAGAGTAAGTGGTAACATTCAAAAACCTATGGACTTACCATCCTGATCATTAGAACGAGAATGTTTTCGACGTGTATATGTTCGTGAATCGATTTCATTTGATTTTTTAGATTTTATATCTTCATTATATTGCGATAAATTTGTTGTACGATTATAATCATATGAATTGAGAAAATGATCAGACTTCTTTTCGCTGTGAGAAAAAATATCGATAATGAGCACGTAAGTGAATAAAGATAATGAAATACAATAAGCATTGAGAAGCAATAAAACATAAGTTCAGGGTATTTTAATGATTATTTATGATATGCTGAGGACATCAATGAACCTGATTGTAGGACGTAGAATCTATTGTTTCGTGAATCCCCCACGTAATCTAAATTAAATGATCACTAACGTTTTAAATAAGTCTGGATCCCATTGGTTACATTCAGTATAACGTAGTCTGAGTTGGGGTACAACTAAAAGCCAGAAAGCACAGGAGAGATGTTACATCCTGGTATGCGGTTCTTCAAGAAACCTTGGGTTTGATTCCTGATGAGGTCGTGGTTGGGACACTGTCGATGAATCCCATAATAGAATGAGATATCTGTACGGTGCTGTATGATTTTTAGTATTACTTCAGGTGAGACTGACTTATGACTAATGCACACTATAGCTTAAAATAGATGAAAAATGTAGGTAAGTCTCAAGTGTGAATCATGGATAAATCATCTACTACTGATCTTAAAAAGACTTGACTTCAGAAAGAAAATCTTACAGGTATGTTGAACTGGAATCCTGTGGCAACGGCTTGTTTGTATTCAATGTTTTCATTAAATATCTGGTTTCAATAAAACCGGAATCAGTTTGATCATTCAATTGTTTACGGGATTTACAAATAATTCGATTTGTTAAACTGTGCTCAGTTCCGGAAGATATAGATGACCATGAACGAACAGGAGATGCTGGATCTGGCACAGATGCTGATCCATGTGAATGATATCGAGATTTTCCACGACTGCATGAATGTGTACGAATCATATTTCGGGATTGATCAGGTCGAGAATAGTGAGTAGCAGGCTTATAGACAGAAAAAACAAATAAGATAACTTTGAAAGTAAGCAAATAAGCGAGCTAAAACTAATCGTTTGCTTCTAATAAATTTCACTCGAAAATGATCAAACTGAACTATAAGGCAGTTTGAACACTTTCGGCTAAATACATTCAATTACATCGCTGATCCATTTAATCCAACGAAGTAAAATAATTGTTGAGTCGTGCACCTTGATAAGAAAAAAGAGCTATCATTGTTGAAATTAGGTAATATCATAAGATGTACATTGGAGACTGATCTCAGTTACACCACCGATGAAAACCAAGAAGTGCTGAACAGATGTTTCGTCCTAGTATGAATATTATCAACAATGTGTATCCATTACACTACCGAGGATCGAAACCAGGGAGTTTAAATCTCGTAATGGGCGGTCGAATTTTGGACTGCATCTCTTCACGATGCTCCACTGCCTTGTGGATCAGACCTTTAGGTCAAAGACTCCGGGTGTGGCCCCGTAAGCAAACCACCTGCTTCGATCTGGGCACCTGGGCAGTATCACAACCCTTACACAAATCGAATGAGATTTGTGTGGCGCATATGTATCTGGTGCTTCTTTGTGCCAATGTTTATGTGTTTAAATAAATAAATAAAACCCCACTTTATTCAACTATTAAGAAAAGATTAAACATACCATAGAATTCAATCTTGTTAATAATTGATTCATAGTATTTGGATCATGATATGATAATGAAAATGGTGTAGTCGATGTTATTTTTGTACAATTACTATTGTTATTTAATGACTGTAAATTTGTAATTGTTGTATTATCTTGACGTTTACTAATAGTGATATGACAATGATTACCAATAGTCTCAGATACATTATATAACGGATTCCCAGTTGTAGAAGGAATGAGATTATTATTATTTTGAGACAAAAATTTCGAATGTTCATAATTGTCTGAATATCTTCGTCCTGTATAAAAATTATAAGCCAAATGATGCTCATTCATGTTGTTATTTTTCTTATTATTCAAATTATGCATTAAATTAAAATGTCCAATGTCCTATGAAAACAAAACAAGTAAACAAACAAATAAACAATATCAGAAGGGGAGTTTTGTGGAGATTTTAGTAATTTTATATAGTAGAGATCATGAATCAATTGAACCTAGATCATCATAGAAAACTTGAAAGCACTGGATGGCCGTTTCGTCCTATTGTGGGAATCCTCAGCAATGCACATCCACGATGCCGCCTCGCAAGATTCGAACTCAGGACCTAGCTCCAATTGACTTACGATCTCAATTATATAAAAAGATAAAGAATAGACTATGGTCAATTTTGTTTACCAAAAGATAGATATGATAACTTACATTTATATTGGTTAGTTTTATAATACAAATTAATATTACGTAATAAGTGTATAGGTACTTAAAAGAAACAGGAATAGCACAAATCAAATAATGAAGTAGATTATCTTAAGAATTAATAATCAATTTTACTGCTAAGGAAGAAAGAGGAATATGATTACGTAATCGACTGCAGAAATCAGTTTGGAAAGATTATTAAGTTAGTTGATTAAAACTTGTGTTTATTTGACTATCCAGAACTGAAACATGGATTACGAGTGTATTTATGGGTATTGTTAATATTACATGATTGAATTCGACAGGAATCTCTGAATGTAGACCTCATGTTGGTTGGAACCTGCCAGTAAGTTATACCAGGAATCTTGCAGAAAAATGATGCTTCCTATGGGATTCGATCAGCGCTAGTAATTGGATAAACATGGTATTGGTCACTATTCAGTGGCCAATCAATCATAAATATCTTAGCCATAAAGGATTTTAGTCGGGGCCTGAATAGCTTACTCATGATGTCTTGAAATGTCAAACCGAGTGATCTGATCTTGAATACATCAGGGTACATCAGTTTCGTCATGATTGTAGGTACGCCTTGGTGATAAGTGCCTACTAGTATGAAACCTAGGTGTACCAGGGTATTCTTCAGATTATTTTCCACCATCTAATATCAAACATGATGCACCCGACATCAAGTCACTTAGACTGGAAGTCATATTGCAAAACAAAGCACAGAATTCGACCAACATTAAGGGATTAGACAAATCACTACTGATCAACATAAGTTGAAGAACCACTTCATTTCAGTTTTAAACTTTTTAATAGTGTCAATTCAACACATTCAAGTCTCTTAATGAGCACGCTACATTTCGATAAATGAGTCGAAGTCTGATGGCTTAAATTTACAATACCATTCAGTTTTAGATATATTGTGATGATCATTTGATGACGTCAATGATGACTACCTCACTTATGATATAGCTGAACTCTACTGGTTGTGACTTCCCACTAGAATTTCGGAAACAGATTTCGACGTCGATCAATAGCGGTTATACGACTAAAGTATAGTTGACCAGTTTCATGAATTTACATAGACTGACACAGATTTACATACCATTAGATTAAAGGAGAACTGGACAACTGTTTCGTTCAATGTGCACACACTATCCTACTAAGGATCGTTCATTTTGATACAGCTATTCAACTCTCTTTTTTTGTAATAGACAAAGAGTGTCACAGTGAAATGTTAGTAAAGGACTTACCTGATTGTTTAAATCTAATCGATCGGTTACTTCTCTGTTGTACTTCAAAATATGGTTTGAACATGAAGATGATGTAGATGGATTGTTTGATGAAGAAGATTTTGACGAAGAACTATCAGGCAATTTCAGGCTAACCGTTGTTGGAAGAGAAACTCCATCATTTGGGGGAACTTGATAAATAAACACAAAAAACAGATATGAATAGTCACATCATAGAAAGTGAAAACACAATTATTTGTAAATAAAATAAAACTTGATATCAAAAAAAACTTACTTACACCTGCTACCCCTCGTTGACGAGAATAGGCCACCCACCAGTATCCTTTATTCAACCCCGTCCTGGGCAATCCTTTTCATATCTGCTTCAATCTCCCGGCGTAATGTGTTCTTTGGCCTTCCACTTCCCTTTAGGATTCCAAGGTGAGGCTTGTCTCGCGGTGCAGTTTGGTGATTTCCTTAATGTATGTCCAATCCACTTCCAACGTCTTTTCCTAATTTCCTCCTCAGCTGGAGCATGGTTAGATCTCTCCCACAGAAGGCTGCTGTTGATGGTGTACGGCCAGTGAATGTTGAGTATTTTTCGTAGACAACTGTTTATAAATATTTGTACCTTCTTGACGATGGATTCAGTAGTTCTCCACGTTTCAGCTCTGTACAGTAGAACTGTCTTGACGTTCATATTGAAGATTCTCATTTTGAAGTTGGTTGACAGTTGTTTTGAGTTCCATATGTTCTTCAATTGTAAGAATGCTGTGATTGCTTTGCCAATCCTCGCCTTTACGTCTGTATCCGATCCTCCTAGTTCATCAATGATGCTTCCCAGGTAAGTTATTATTATATTTACCAAAGACTATGATAAACTGTAACATCAAAACTGTAACAATGTTCTATACGAAAAAAAACGTGAGACGCTCATGTGTAGTAAGATATTTAACTATAGCAAACTACTATAACATAATTAAAAAGATTCTGTTTTTGAGTTATACCAGCTTGATAATAAAGCATTGTTTCAACTGTTGTCTAGGTGATAAATAATATAACCTATTGACCAAATATAGACTTATAGGCAAAGTGGGTAGATGTAATCGGAAGGATATCGTGGTTAATTTAGGTTCCGTGCTAGTTGACACTCATCAATAAAGTATCTACAATCTTAAGAGATGTTCCCGCGCTCCGGGGTTCGAACCCGCACTGCCCTATTTCACAGTTTAAAATGTTAACATTGAGTAGTTCAAGTAGAAGCTGATCTCCTGTACGATTAAGATATTTATAGTGTTGGTCTACTGAGTCGTGACCAATGATAATTTTGCTTAGTTCTTGATGCTGACCATTAGTCAGTGATCAATCAATGTTAATAAGTTCAAATACTCGTCTTGAAGCCACATATTATTTGTGTAAAAGTTACTCATACTATCCGATACCCTACACCAAAATAGGTAAGATGGATTTTGAACCTGGAACCAATAGTTTGAAAGCTAAATTTTTTGATCAATGAGCCAATTAGCGTTCTATAACCAATGAGGTATGAAAACAGTACCAAGTTAGAACATTCAAGTTCAAATATTTTAATAAGAGTTCATAAAGCCATAAAAATGAACAGTAAAGATTGCAGGTCTCCAAAGCAGTACAAAGTTTTGAACGCTACTTGGATGAAATCACAAAAAGAGGAGTTGAAAGAGCAATCCTATACAAAAGTCGTAGAACATTGTATTGACAATATTAAATTTTATGTAGTTCATGGAATAGAAACTGAAGATCTAGTTCATCCTTTTACTCTACTACTTAAAACTAGAAATATGTTAGCTATATGTTTACTAAAATAGTATACTAAAATACTTTGTAGACAATTAAATTGAAGGTCTGAAAAAAAGAATAGAATCATGAATCCAAAATAACAGAAAAGATTTAAAATGATATTGTGGTGTGGTCTACTTATATCCATATAAGTAGTATATGGTGTGGGTCAGACATAGAATGTATTTTGGCAGAAGACCGATGAGCAAAGAGCTGAAATGAAGCGCAATCGTTTGGAAAATGCATGAGCAATAAAATTAGAGAAGAAACAGAGAAGATTGAAACAATTGGTTGTTAATTTGCAAATTGACTGTTCTTTGTTTGGTTATCAGAATTTACTGAGATAGTCTGTAATCTTTGCTTAAATACATTCGATTGTCCCCAACTAGCGTTCTGTTCACTACAATATAAATTATTTGTTATTTGGATAGATTGAACGATATTTTATATTGTAAGCAAAGATGGATAGTGGCTAGCAGTGAAATCTAGGACTTCTACTTCGTCCTATTCGGGACTCGTCAGCTGGATCTGCTTACATCTCAGAGTTGATGTTCACTCTGAGACTCGAACCCAGTACCTTTCGTGTCAAACGCCATCGCGTTGTCCACTCAGCTACTGAGTCCTTATAGCCACTTGCTTGTGCAATGGGGTGAAGTTTAAATTCAATTAGTATTACTTGTTTGAATCTCCCCATTGATGTTTTAGGACTGCAAATGGTCAGTCTCCTATAGGCATATGTGCATACTGTGCGTTAATAGTTGAATTCATGAGTCGATTTAAGCTTGATTACCAGCGAAAACCTAGAAGCGCTGGATGGCCGTTTCGTTCTAGTATGGGATTCTTCAACAAAGCGAATCCATGATCCCACACCAAAGACATTCGATCTCGCTCACGAATGCTCAATCTCCAGATTACTGCTCCGGCATCTTATGGTGTTAATGTTTAACTTGAATCGATCCATGATCTTGCGCTTCCCTTCATCCATTGTCTGAAGTAGATACTTCTCTTTAACCGACACGGATTGGACTCCACTGGTCACGGCTCGTCACATTAACACCATTGTATACCGTTTTAGTGGTTTAGCGATTAAGTGTTCGCGTGAGACCGAAGGTCCTGGGTCCGAGTCCCTTCAGTGCGAGATCGTGGATGCGCACTGCCGAGGAGCCCAATACTAGGCAGAAACCGCCGTCCCGTGCTTTCAGGCTTTCAATGGTGCTCTAGCTCAAATCAATTCATGAATTCAACTATTAGAATTTTATTCGTTATTTAAAGTCTAAAGATGCTTATTATCTGACTGTTCAAACAGATATTATTTATAAGAAGAGATAGCTTTGAATCTGTCATATTATAATCAAATAGATTATATAAAGTATTAATCATACACAACTAAACTTATATGAGATTAGAAAGGAAGAAAAAGAGAGGAACATACGATATGAACGCATCCATCAAACATCGTTGACAAGTTGTTAATTGTGTATAAAGCCTTTTTCTAAGATCGAAAAACCATCTTAACAAGTAGAATTTTGTCAATAATGGAAACACATAGAGGACATCAAAACTGAACAGAATTTAAATATGAAAATATAGAAATTTATCCTTAAAAAGAAAGGTGCACAGTTAAGATTTATGGTTTACATGAAAAAAAAAACCCTAAAAGATTAAAGTTTTGACAACTTTTGATAAATATATATAAAGAGATGGAAGGGAGAAAGGAAGAAGGAGCGAAAATCAACAGTTGATAAGCAAATATTCAATTCTAATGCAAATTAGGGGTGGGGGAAGGATAAACAAATGAACGTCTTGCCAAATATCATTTGATATAAACCAAAAGAGAAAAAAAAGATCAACCATAAAGACAAATAAGTAGCTTATGAAATAGATGAGAAAGATAAAAGATTAATTTGGAGAGAAGAAAAAAAGATAAACAATTACAAATCAAAATCATGGATTGATTGAAGTTAGACATTAACACCATTGGATACTAGCCGACTCAGTGGTTTATCGGTTAAGTGCTCTGGCGTGAGACTGGTAGGTCATGGGTTCGAATCTCGCGAGTGCGGGATCGTGGATGCACACTGCTGAGAAGTCCCATATTGGGACGAAACGGCCATCCAGTGCTTCCAGGTTTTCCATGATGGTCTAGCTTCAATTGACCCATGATGCAATAATAACAAAGCTTACAGAATAAAACGAATCCAATCTATTACATGGGTTCACACTAACTGAAGACGGACTAAAAATATAAGGAGGCTATTTTTATCTGATAAAAGTCCATGATTTCATACAGTTAGTTCCCTTTACGAATTTAAATAAAGGTTATCAATGATAACCTAAAATTCTAATGCATATTTGGTTGTAAGCAGCTGATGAGGAACCACGAAATATAATGAATTCATATTATTCTACATCAATATTCGTTCTGTCTTTATTTAAAAGTCCATGAAGAATAATGAATTTATTTTATTCGGTAAGCTTTTCTCTTCTTCCAGTGTTCACATATATCATGTGTTACACATCCTAAACCACCATCTACCTCGAAGGGCGATGTTGTCTAGTATAGGGAGTAAGCTGAGAGAAAACTAAGAGAGGCTAAACCAGAAAATGACATCAGTCCATGAAGTCAATGATAATTGGACTGAGTCATGTAGACTACCTGGTTGGGGTCCGCGTGATCATCATAACTAGTGGTTAGAGACTTTAAATGATATGGCTCAAAATTGTTTGCAATGACGCAGTTGTATATTTTGTCTTCTAAATCCTGAACTTCTGAATAACTCATAGAACATTTCGTCTTACTAATTTATATCTTCTTGAATCGTATCTTTGATCCCTAATCTTTCCTGTCACTACTAATACTGTTCCTACCTCTATTATTCTGGGATTTGGCATGACAATTTTATCTCTCTGTGCTAATGGGGTACAGCAACTGAAATCGATGTACATACGTATCAGGTTCTACTTTGTTACTGACTGACCTAAATCGATCATGGAAACTGATTGCATGAAATAAATGAGCTTAGATTTATTTTATCCTTCCACATCATCAGCGTCTGCTCATTACGTAACCACTTATTTCCAATACATTGGTTACTCTCAACATTGTAGGATGTTCCTTTGCATATGATATATGAATCTATTTGCAAAGTCAAATTAGTCTCTTAAGTTTATTTACTTATTTGATATTAATATGCTGATATGTGATCCCGAAAACCTCCAACCAGATTTAATTACCTAAATAATCTCAACTCATTGAACGAAACAAAATGAATTCATGTTATTCTGATCAAACCTTTATTCTTGTTCTCTTTCAAACAGAAATAATCTGGGTTCGTAAATAGTTCTAAATAGAAGTGATCTACCTATATAAGAATGG